TTCCAAAATCTCGTGTCAACAAATGAGATCGGCAGATGTGATTAGACAAGCAAAATCAAACTTTCCTTTTACCTGGCAGTCGGAGGCGATCACGTATTTGGGAATCCAATTACCAACTCACCTAAAGAAACTCTACGATAAAAACTTCTTACCCCTCTTGCGTAATATCTCCAAAGACCTTCAGACTTGGAACAAACCTTGGTTCTCCTGGTTTGGTAGAGCAGCCATCCTCAAAATGAACGTGCTTCCTAGAATATTGTATCTACTGCAAACAATACCAATTAAATTACCGAATTCTTTCTTTGCATCTTATAAAACACTCTGTACCTCCTTTCTTTGGTATAATAAACACCCAAGAATTAGCTTTGCACAACTTACCATGCCCAAGAAGGGTGGAGGTATTGGATTACCTGATATTGCCCGCTACTACAGGGCTTGTCACCTAGCAAGGGTAGTAGATTGGACCACGAATTACAATCGTAAGGTTTGGGTTGGTGTGGAGTCGGATTTCTCGAAGATACCGCTTGCCTCTTCCCCTTGGCTGAAATACTCTCACATTCCTTCTGAGTTTCGGGAACACCCTCTTGTAGGCCCCACTTTAAGCTGTTGCCATCAGTTGTTCCAGAAAAAAGAGCTCTCTTCCTCCCCGGGCCCTCTAACTCCGATCAAAATGAATCCGGACTTTCTACCGGGTACGTCCCAGGCCTTCCTCGCCGTATATAACCGTCCAGATAACCTGACAGTACATCAACTTTTCAAAGATACTAAGTTCTTATCTAGAGAGGACATTACAAAGATATGGCCATCCCTGAGCCTAACGCCATGGATGTTTAGACAACTTCATCATTTTATACAAAGCTCCCCGCATTTAAAAGATTATTCAAGGCCACTTACTCCATATGAGAAACTTTGCTTTACGGATTCCCCTCAGAGACATGTTATATCCAAGCTTTATTCCTATCTTGATACCGCCATCATGTCTCAATCTCGGAAGGCTTGTGAGGCTTGGTTGCTCGATCTACAAATACCTTTGTCACCTGAAGACTGGGATCACATTTATGATCACATGCATACAGGTTCCATATGTGTCTCCACGCAAGAAAGCAATTATAAATTACATTCTAGATGGTACAGAGTTCCATCCCTACTTCATAAATTTGATCCTAACGTTTCGGATTTGTGCTGGAGATGTCGACAGGCAACGGGTACACTCCTACATATATGGTGGGATTGTCCCCTGCTGCAGCCCTTCTGGAGAAAAGTGCAAGACCTAGTCTCACAAGTAACCAAGTACACCCCTAGACTTCACCCCAGCACAATTTTTACTCCACCACTCCTCACTTCCTTTTCGGACTTATCGTAAGTCTCTTGCCTTACATATGATAAACGCGGCAAAACAGTGTATTCCTGTCCACTGGCGATCAGAACATGTTCCCACTGTGCGAGAGTGGTTTCTGAGGGTCATCAGGATTGCGGAGAATGGAGGAACTGATTTCAGTGGCAAGGGAGCACCCCGAGAGATTCAGGAAGACTTGGGCTTGTTGGAAACACTTTCAAACCACCAATATCTATCATCTTTCTATGAATAACTGAGACGAGATTTAGCGGCACGAACAACCTGTAAAGCTCTCACCCCCAGAATTGCTCCATGGACTGAGCCTAACCGGACTGTATCTTAAATCAAAGGAATAATATACATTAGTTTGACTAATGTACCACGATATGATTGGTTTAACAGCCACTACTTAATAATTGACAACCCCCCCCTTTTTTTTTCTCTCCCTCCCTCTATGACATTATCTTTCCTATTTCTTTTCATCTGATGCGCCCTTCTCTTTTCTTTTCCTTCTTTCCTTCACTCCTTTTTCTTACCCAACTGACTATATCTCTTATAAGAGACGGAGTGTCCTCTCGCATATAGGTGTGCTTGTCCTTTATAAAAAGAAACCTACATTTCCCGGATACGGACACATACGAAATGCACGCCTTTAGATGATATCATTGTCCTATGCTTCATTGTCCTATTATCTGAGCACTCCCTACTCAATAGATCAGCATCCATTCTAATTTTCTAGACTACCAATTATAATCAATACTTTACTGGTTTATATCGTTCACCTGTTATAATGTGTTATTTTGCTTCAGAACGATTCACACTTCAAATGAATATCTGATGACCCGTCTGCGTTTTTGGGAGAATAGGCCAGATGTATATACGCGGACTGTGCTCCGTATCTGTATATGACCTGATATGCCTTTTACTTCAATAAATACTTTTTTGGAAAAAAAAAACAAACGAGATCTGCAAAATACTCACTATGTCGAGTAAATAGATACCAAACACGACATGCTGTAAAACTGTGCACGCCCCCTGCAATGGCGATAAACTGCATACATTTTTAAAATCTATAGGCAATGGTTTAAAAGTCTTTATAGGCTACCATTTTAGATTTACACAGGAGTTCTAGTGCTATAATTACTGCCCTCGATCTGATGTTCATGGCGATACCTCACATGGTGCAACCACTGTTTACATACCGGCAAGGGGTCAATGCTTGCGCACGCGTTTTTTTAGTTTTTACACTGCCCCTTTCATTTTTTTTTTTGTAGCACTTTTATTGTTATCACAGGGAATGTAAATATCCCTGTGACTGCAATAGGCATTGACAGGTATTCTTGTTTGAGAAATCTGGGGTCTATTAGACTCTAGATATCTCCTCTGCTCTTACATCATCTGACCTCACCAAGATCGGTGTGATCAGATGCTTTCCCAATTTAAAAATAGTGCTGTTTATATCCTGCAAAACTGAAGTGATGAAATGCTTGTAGCTTCCGATTTCTTAGACTATAGAGATGATTTGTGCCATTCCGATCTCCAGTCAACTCTGTGGTTAGCTGGCAGAAACACTGGCTGCATTCTCAGGTTCCCCCGATGGCGCAGGACTGTCCGAGAAAGCCATGGAAGGCAGCGGAGGGGGCATCTTCTCCCGCTGCTTGTAAAAGCAATCCTGCAGCTAATTAGCCACTAGGTTTGCTTTTACTGATCCCGCTAATGCTGCGTTTTTAGGGACACTATACTATTTTGACCGCTAGTATAGTTCTGATCTGATCAAAGATATTGATCTGTTGAGACACTATGCTAGCAATGGAGCAATGTAGTTTTATTGAGTATGCAAGCGTGTTCCTCGAAATCAAGGGGTTAAATGCGATGACTGTTGTAGTGGCGAGCAATCTGATGCTATCTGGGTGGGATGCTAACTGACGCCAATGCTATCTGAAGACCATGCGGTTTCCCTGAGGCTGCGCTTTTAAAAACGTGCATGCACCTTTTTGTGTGGGACACATGGCACAGCAGGCCATTCAAATAAATGGGCTGCTGTGCCCAAGCAAACGCAGGCCGCATGGCTCACATTAGTGTGAACTGGGTCTCAAAGTGAACAGTCTATATGCCTTTAGGATATCAATCCCAATGGTTCATTCACTATCTCTGAGGAGGGACAGAGACAGAGAGAGCCGCTGTTCTCATGCACAGCACTGGATTGAGATTGGGCTCAGGTCAGAATAAGGGGGGTAGGCTGGGAGGTAAACTGCAGATAATGCATTAAAGTAAAAAACCTTCAGCCATTAGAACCACTCTAAAGAATATGTACACCCAACATTTATTATTCCTGATACTGTATGTGTCTGCCGCACCAAGTTCTTGTATAAAACAGTATCCTGTTCTCTATGTATTGCTTCCTTAGTGTGAAATCCCTGGTGTTCCTGTCAGTTCTTCTGCTGTTCTATTAAAAACTGGCCACACTATGCATGAGAGTGCAGCGTGGTCAATTCTCTAGCTGCGCTGGGAGCTAATTCATCGATAAGAACTTGTGCTGACACATCCCCCGTTACACAGCCGTTCACTGGGAAGACCAAAGTGCTCTTGTTTCTCCTCTCTGAGCTCCTTATGTAATGGAGAACAGAGGCTATGAGATCACTTATAAAATAGGGAAAAAGGGTATTTCTGATTTTAAATATATATATATATATATATATATATATATATATATATATATATATATATATATATATATAATTTATATAATTTATTTCAACTTCGAAGAAATGCTTTTTGGTAGTTTGGACTGCGACACCTTTTTATCAAGTAGTAATAAACCTGAATCTGACCAGTGGCATCCTCTGTCACAATGGAAAAACAATTTTAAAAAATGCCACGCCATGCATACCCATATGGGAAGTACAGGCAGACAGCGTGCTGAGAGTCCGCAGAATCCTGGCATTGCACCTGTGATCTGCAGATCACGGGTGCAATGCCTTACAGGCTCCTAAGAAAAAAATAATAAATTGCACATTTTTTAACCTGCAAAAAGATGTGTATTCATTATTTTTTTAATGAAAGGTGAACTTATCCTTTATCTAGTTTTCTAAGCTGAGGCTTGCCAAAAAAAAGTCCATGTTCCAGCTGATTGTTTGAAAATCGGTTGTCAGGGTTGTATTCAAAATGCACCTAAATTCCAAAAATTCCATTAAACAAACCTTATGTTGGGAGAGTATACTCCATCTGGCGCCTGTAGTTTGTGTTCAATAACTACAAAGTGCCTTACTGCGCCCTAGGAGGCAAAAGCAGCCTACTGCAAATTTAAACAGTTTCTTTCCCCACTGCACGCTTGAGATTACTACTACATGTGAACTAAATGTAATTATCATTCAAACCTCCTCACAATCAGTGGCAACATCTAATGTTAAAACCCACTGTGAAGTAGACTAATATAACTCAGTGGTACAGCGCTTACAATTATCTGAACTCCTAAATACCATAAAAAATTGTGACAAAAATGACCAAAAACACACAAAATAAATCACAATAAGCTATATATCAGAACCTAAGTAGAAATTAGAATCTAAATCTTTCACCAAAAATATTACAGCTTTTAAAGTGTCGGTCTCATTTAGTAAGGCTAGGTTCACACTTTTGTGTGGTCACAGCAACCCATTCATTTGATGGACTGCTGTACCTATAGGAAAATGCACCCACTGGGCACCTGCATGGAACCACATGTGAGGTGGCAGGGGCAGACTGACAACTCATGGGGCCCCCGGGCAATAGGGGATTATGGGGCCCCTGTGTCCTTGCCCAAACTCAAAAAAGCCTATGAAAAAGGTACCAGGGGCATCTCATGGGGCCCCCTACTGACCTACTGAGTTTCCAAATGGTCAGTCTGCCCCTGTGTGGTGGTGCCATTAGGAATTAATGGCACCCCCATGCATCTGCAAAAAAGAGCAGCACATTTTGTCTGCAGGTTGGGGACAAATGTGATTATACATGCGTATGTGTGAACCTAGCCTTATTGTTACCAAACAAAATATACATTACAATAAATAAGCAATGCATCAAAAAGTCCTGTGAAAATTACACCATCAAACTTCTTCCACCACAGTACAACAACACTGCAACAACCTATGCAGTGTCAAGCCTCAACTGAAAATACACTCGCTCTTTCTTTTTGCCTTCTCGAATAAGAAGTGCTCTTTAAATGATTTTGTACTATATACGATCCTCTATTCTTCTAATACACTGCTCAAGAAAATTAAAGGAGCACTTTGATAACACATCATATCTCAATGGGGAAAAATATCATGTTGGATATCTATACTGATATGGACTGGGTACTGTGTTAGGAATGTAAAGATGCCCCATCATTTGCTGGAAATTAAAATTATCAACCTACAGAGGACTGAATTCAAAGGCACCCCAAAAATCAAAGTGCAAAAATGATGCAGCAGGCTAGTCCATTTTGCTGAAATTTCATTGCAGAAACTCAAAATGGTACTCATTAGTTTGTATGGCCCCCACATGATTGTATGCATGCCTGACAACGTTGGGGCATGCTCCTAATGAGATGGTGTCCTGGGGTATTTTCTCCCAGATCTGGACCAGGGCATCATTGAGCTCTTGGACAGTCTGAGGTGCAACCTGGCAGCATCAGATGGACCGAAACATAATATCCCAGAGGGGTTCTATTGGATTTAGGTCAGGCGAGCATGGAGGTCATTCAATGGTATCAATTCCTTCATCCTCCAGGAACTGCCTGAATATTCTCACCATATGAGGCTGGGCATTGTCATGCACCAGGAGGAACCCAGGACCCACTGCACCAGCGTAGGGTCTGACAATGGGTCCAAGGATTTCATCCCGATACCTAATGGCAGTCAGGGTGCCATTGATTAGCCTGTAGAGGTCTGTGTGTCCCTCCATGGATATGCCTCCCCAGACCATCACTGACCCACCACCAAAACGGTCATGCTGAACGATGTTACAGGCAGCATAATGTTCTCCACGGCTTCTCCAGCCCCTTTCACGTCTGTCAGTGACACTGACACTCTCCTCAAATGATGTGCGGGTGCACGAAACACATAAGGAGGAGCCAGTAACGCCGTGACATCACGCCGCCGGAGCAACGTGGAGCTCCGGCGGCCATCTTTAAACTTGGATGGTTAGTCCACATTGCTCTTCATGCCCTGCATTTTCATTATTGATGTGTTTTAAGCTGGATTTTTTCAATAAATTTTCTCAAAGTTACTACACTATGGGCATTCTTTTGCTTTAACTCCCTGAGGGAGTTTTTGGTTTCACAGCTATCCTAACCTCCAGAGAGGGAGCCTCCATTAGACCTAGAGGATTGCACTTACCTATCCCAGAAAAGGGAACTCTGGAGTACCCTGATAGCAACCAGCTTACACCTTGGGACCCATCCACCCAGAGAGGAGAGGCAAAAGATCCCTACCATCACCTACGATGACCATTTGATGACATCAGGATAAATCTATAACGCACATTTATTATTATTATTATTATTATTATTACTACGAGTTTATATAGCGCCAAAGGGTTTGCTCAGCGCTGTACAATAGGGGGGGACAATACATGGCACAGTACAACAACAACATTTATTTGGGCTTTCTGGTGAGTGCGCATTGCTTATACACCTATTTGCACATTCACCTTCTCCAGGAAGACGCAGGAGTAATGAGCACCTTGGTCACCTGATGAACTTATTTATGATTTATTATGATCAATGAATTTTGTTCTTATTTTAAGTGTATTTTCAATTTGGGGTAGAGGTGCTTCACTGTGTTGGGTAGAATAAGAAGCAACCGATGAAGAATCTAAAAAAGGCATACCGCATAAGTTGTTTGCATTGTTGTGAAAGAAAGCTGATGGTGACATTTTCACAGAATCTGTTTGACACATTGCTTATTTATAGTTTGTTTATTGTAAACATTCTATAACTTGTTTTGGTAACTGAGATGGACACTTTAGAAGTTGTTATATTTTTGGTGGAATTTCTGACATATTACTTATTGTAATTTTTTGTGTGTTCTTTGGTGGTTTCTTAATGTAGTTTTCACAACGCCCACATTCCTGCAAATGGCTTTAAATGGTGTTTGAGTGCTGTAATGACCATGGGCTGGGAACCATGAACAATCCAGAAAGAAAAGTGTCATCAGCACACCAAGGAATCCTCAAATGGGTACGAAGCTTTAAGGCACTTGCCTGACAAAGGGGCCCTGCTTGGCTCTGAAACTTTGTCACTATTGATATTATGTGACCACTAACTAAAGCCTCAGACCCGTTTGAGGGTTCCTTGATGTGCTGGTGACACTTTTCTTTCTTCTTTGGTGGTTTCTGTCACGATTTTATGGTATTTTAGGGGTTTTATTGGTATTTAGGAGTTCAGGTAATTGTATTGCTTATTGTGATTTTTTGGTGTTTTTTGTCACTTTTTTATAGTATTTAGGAGTAGGTAATTGTAAGTTCTGCGTCACTAAGTTATATTTGTTATATGGAAATTTAAAGTTGTGGAGGATGACAAAACTTGGTGCATCATAATCACTCTCTCTTATTAAATCCTACAATATAATATGGACCCATCCCCATTGGTCAGAAAAGCAGCCTTATTGCATTATGAAATGCCAGGAAATGCAGATGTAGTAGAATCCCTGAGTCAAAGCACAGTGGAGGCATTGTAAAGATAATAAGCGTGATCTTAAGGCGCTGGATGATACCTAGAGTCCATCATAATATTCGAACACTTAGAATTTTCACAGGTACAGGTTTACATCATGTTCATGTGGGTGATAGCAGTCTCTCTGGTAAACCAACAATATCAGATATTGAATATCAAAAACGTACATCAAACAAAGTAATGCTGCTCCATTTAGGTCCTCTCATAAAATACATTCCAAAACAGGGGCAGATTGACAACTCATGGGGTCCCCGGGCAATAGGGGATCATGGGGCCCCTGTGCCCTTGTTTACACTCAAACCACACCCAAAAAAGCCTATGAATGGTACCAGGGGCATCTCAAGGGGCCCCCTACTGACCCCGGGATGTCGGGCAGTGCCAAAGTGCCTGAATGGTCAGTCTGCCACTGTTCCAAACCAGGGGCGGACTGACCATTTGGAAACTTGGGCACTGTCCGAGGGCCCGGGGGTCAGTAGGGGGCCCCATGAGATGCCCCCTGGTACCTTTTTCAAAGGCTTTTTTGAGTTTGGGCAAGGACACAGGGGCCCCATGATCCCCTATTGCCCGGGAGCCCCATGAGTTGTCAGTCTGCCCTGTTCCAAACACCTTCCAAATGAGTGCCGACCCAACTCGCAGGCTGCACTCAGAACAACAGACAACACTCCAATACAAGTTAAGCGCAAACAGAGCGAAATTCATCAACCTTTGGAGTGCGGCGGCCGTCCTGAAAAAATCTACTGCAGTTAAGGCTAGGTTTACACTAATGCAGTGAAAGTTTATTCCGTTTTCTAGTGCAGTTCAAGGAGCACCTCCAGTGTGATTCAGATGCAGTTCAGCTGCGATTGCAATACGTTTTTCCTGCAATTTGGATTTATTTTCTCTCTCTTTTTTTCCTCCCTCTCTTTCTTCAGAAGCACAGCAGAGACTTGTAAAAAAAACTCACTGGAATAGCATTGCATTTGAATAGAGAAGTGTTTTAAAATTGCAGTGCCTTTGGACTGCATATATGTGACTGCATTTAACATGTCATGCGATTCCATGCATGGAATTGCATGATGCATTGCATAAGTGTGAACCAGGGCTAAAGGCAGCATATTGCTTGCATTACATTCATATATCTAGCTGAACTGAACAGCCAAAAGCAGGAAAAAAAAGGCTATGGGATTGATTTACTAAAGTGCACTCCAATTATACTTGGAAGTACACTGCAAGTGCACTAAAAGTGCAGTTGTTTTAGGTATGAGGGGAACATTCAAGAAAAATAAAAAAAAACACATTTTTGCTTGAACATGATTGGATGAAAGAAATCAGCACAGCTTTGCCTCATTTTAGAGCTTCCCCTCGAATATAAAGCAAATGCACTTGTGGTGCACAGTATGTTTACCTTTAGTAAATCAACCCCTATGGATTTTGTGAGCTTCACAGAGTTGTTTCTACTTTTATTAATTAATTCATACCTTTACCTTCAATGTTGAAGCTGGTGTTGCTCGCAAATGTCCAATGCTAATCAGACAAGGCAACATTAAGGCTCCGTTCACACTAGAGCAATTTCAGATGTGATTTAAGTTGCATTATCGCATGACAATAAAAATCACACTGTTTTCAATGGTGCCCGTTCACATCAATGTGACTCAGCACAGTGCGATTTTGGAAAGTGCTCCTGTACTACTTTGGTGGGATTCCAGTGCTATTTTGGCCCCCTAGAATATGCAGACTTTATCAAAGTTGCACTGCATAATCACACTGAAAATTGGATCAAAGCCGGATTGCAACAGTGTGAACCTAGCCTAAAAGAAATATGAAGATCAAATAGTGACTGTTGGGATTTGGTGTTACCCCCAGTCCTTGACACTGGCCAGTGGGTGCCTTACAGTAAACAGGGCTTGCCAAGGAGGGAAGACTCCTATTTGCTCATAAAAAGTTTCCCACTAGTTTATACGGCTCTGACAAAATGACTAATAGTAAATTCTGGAATAGATAAAGCTCTTTAAAACAGCTCTATTTATCCACTCAGTGCATTAACAGAGTACA